AACAAAAGGACAGCAACTTGTCTGTTCCTTCCCCCAATTCCCCAGCGCTGTTCCCATCCCCCAATTCCCCAATAAAAATCTTTTTAAAAAAAACTAGAGGAGGAAAAAGGTTCTCCTTCCAAAAGCCAGTGGACTAGAGGAGATGGACTCAAATAATTATAGTCTATTATACTAGATGGACTATGGGAGCCACAGAAGGTGCACCCAGCCAAGGCTAGGACCATGCAATGCACTGCTCCAATGGTTAATAATAAATGCCTACTAGCCCCTTAAAACTTCCCTGGAACACCTTCCTTACCATGTGGCCACCCACAATCAGTCAAAATTCTAGCTGGACCTGGGCTTCCTAGATGTGTTTAAGGCCCACTGGATAAATTCTAGGCTTACGTTTACTACCCTTCCAATCTATAAGATGATGACAAAGACCTCTTATTATACTTCGGTAGCCCCACAGTGCAGAGTGGATACTTAGTCACCTCCCTGTCTCCCCAGCATTTGGCCAAGAGAAGAATGTCTCTTTGAACAACTTCAGTGTTGATCAGGTAACCAGAGCCCTGGAGAATGTACTAAGTGGCAAAGCCTGAAGCTCCCACTGAGGACTGAGCAACAACCCCACAGCCTTGGCTGTGCTGCACTGAGTACAATGGAAAAATGTATTCTGTTCTTTATAAAGCTTGTGCTGTAAGATGCTCTCAGGATGTTCTTTTCCTCATTCCACTCTCTACCCTTTATTGTGCAACCACTGAGGCAAAGTAGTTTATTATAAAAATAAAACTTTATTTTTCCCCATCAAAAGCCACCAGCTGCTGGAAGAAAAAAAAAAAAGAGAGAGATTCCAGGGCCCCAGCATAAGTGAGCCATACTGATTTCCCTCTGGTCCTTCTGCCTAGACAGTGCTGGATGAAGAGGAAAAGCTGGGGTCCAAAGGTCTTGGTTTAGGCTTAGATGTGGGGGCAGAGAACATGATGCCTCATTATGGTCCTAACCCCCCAAAAGGGGCTGGTGGGGGTGGAATAAGTGACATGGAGGAGCCAAGTCACCCACGAAGAGCTGTCTGCTGGAGAACATGCACTCGATCCTGGAGCTGTGCCTCCTCCTCATGCCTTTCCAGTGCTTGCAAGCCTGATTGCTGCAGGAAGGCCTGGACAGCCTGAGGGCAGGGAAGAAAAGGATTCAACACCTGGGTCCCTGTGCCCTAACACTCAATTCCCACAGCCTTATGGGTTAGCCCACCTCATCCTGGGAGAGGTGCATTCCCAACAAGAAGACAGAGGTTCGCACCTGGAGCCTACATAGGCTAGCCAGGCCCAGAGAAGTGACTATAGTTAGGACTGGAAGAGATGATGAGACCAGAGGCTTCAGAATGGTGGGGTTGGGGCCCAGGGCCAGAAACCTACCTCTGGCCGATAAAGAAACAGCAGTTGCAGCAGCTCCAAACTCTGGCCTACTACTTCAGTGTCAGAGAAGGCCAGTGTGTCCAGCAAGGAGGGGAGCAAGGGACCTGGCCACAGATGCTGGCAATAAGCAGGACCCTTCTCTGCAACGTTGCACAGAACTGTGAGCACCTGCAGACAGATGTATATACATAGTCCCCACAAAGGATGAAAGCCAAGGACAGCAAAACATATGGAGTGCTGACCACATGCCCCAAGCACTGTGCCAAGTAATTTTATATACATATGCATGTTCTGTAATCTCCACAACTGCCCTCAGGTAGGATAACTATTTCCAATTATAAATGAGGAAACCGAAGCGTAAGGTGGTTAATTGATTTGCCCAAGGTTAGTAACTCGTAAACCACAGTTTAGGGATTCACGCCCAGAGTGTTCTGGCTGTGAAGCCATCCATACCACACCACCTGCCAGCTCTCAGCTAAGGGCACTTCTGAGCTCCCACTTTATACTTACTAGACATTAGACTCGGATGACTCCAATACCTACCAATACGCTCACCACATTAGATCCTGGCAACAATTGCAAGAGGGGCTCAATCAGATTCAGGGAGAGCAAGGAGGTACAGAAGCTAGGGCTGTTGGCTGGAAGGGAAAATGTCAGGGTGAAGTCTAATGGAGGCCTGAAACCACCCCTTCCTAATTCTACCCACCTCAGCCCAGGCCACAAGGAAGTATTCCCAGGATCTAAAGGTCTAGGCCTCAGCAGACCTTACGGTGCATACCGGTGAGGTTGTTAAGGAGCCAGAGGCCCTCAGGAAGCAGGCTGGGCTGTTTCTGGAGTAAGAACTGCAGAAGGATAAATAAGGCTGCCACAACACGCTCATCTCTGAGCTGCATTTGCCCTCCCACAGCCTCCACTGCTGCCTCTGTTAGCAAGTTGCTCAGACACCGGAGCACAGGGCACACCAGCTGCAACAACAAGTTGGGGATCAGGTTTAAGTTGGAAGCGGCTACCTGCACCCTGGAGGAGGAACAGAATAGGAAGGAAGGTAGCACAGATCTTGACCTGTCCTCTTCACCTACCAGCTCCAATCCTGCATCCTCGGATCTCTGGATAGCCCCAGCCAAGTCCAAGAGCAGCAGCCCCAGAGTGGACAGAGCCCCATGGGTGATGAGCAGGGCATTGTTGACCTGGCTGGGCAATAGGAAGCAAGTAGTCACTACTCAGCCAATCCCACCTTTAAGTTGGCAAACAGCCATGGTGTATGAGTTTCCTGGGTTCCAAGAAGAGACCATACAAGGAAGAAAACTCACAATTCCAGAAACCCAAATTCAAAAACCCAAGTGTCACAAAAGGAGCCCCAGGGGAGGTCTGTGGCACTTTCCCAATTGGCCCCTGTGTTACCTGCAGATGATGTAATGAAGGCACCAGGCAAACTCGACAGCAACCCCAGGGTTCAGCTTTGGGCCAGGTTGCAACAGTCGCAGCATTTGCTGGGGGAGAGTGGAGCCCAGGACAGAGCTGCCAGCAGAAGGAGAGCTGTGAGTAGGAACCATGGAAGGCAAGATGCCTGTCGCTCTTCCCAAACCCTAAGAGTAGGTGGGAAAGTGTCAAAACCCAAACCCCTTCCCAGCTAGACACATGGAGGTAAATGTACAAGAGCTCTGGAAACAATCTGGCATTTAGGGGCTACTGCCAAGTGGGTCATCCCAGCCTACACATCTGGAGATACAATTTTACTTACGGGATGAACTTCTCTGGAGCTTCCTTAGCCTGCAGGAGTTGGGACAAGGCATATCCAAGGGCTTCCAGCACAGTGAGATGGGGGGACTAGAAGTAGACACGGTAGGGATCTGACTCTGGAAAGTAGGCTCTAAGATTTCCTGAGACTCAACCCCTTAGGCTGGAGATGCCTAACCACAGCAGCCAGGCATGTGGTAAGAAGTGAGGGGAGGGCTGCCCAGGGAGGAAGAAGGAAAGCGTGCACTCACCTGGATGCAGGCAGCCAAGGCTGGAACAATGCCCTGTGGCAGGAGCTGCCTTCTCACAGCCTCACTCTCCACGATCAGGTTACCCAGTGTATATAGACAGAGCTCCTGAGAGCAGGACAACAAAAGCACTAGGCTTGGCCCAGTTCAGGCCAGAATGGGGGCAGGAGTGGGGAGGATGGAGTATCCCTGTCCTTGAGGCTTAGGGCACAAAGGAGTGGGGGATGGTGGGTATGTATGGCTGTGTAGGTTTTCTTCTCCCTACCTGCCAGCTCAAACTGGACCTAAAAGCACAATTTTTAAACTCAAGCCAAGAACAAGTTAGGAAGGGACAGGGCTTACTATTAAGTCTGAGCTGTGACCAGAGACGTAGGTAAGAAGGTAGGAAGTGGCTGGCAGGCAGGCCTCAGCCACCGCAGGCTGCTCAGAATGGGAGAGCTCATGAAGGCACCGAGCCGCCTCAAGCTGCAGCAGGGCCTGGTTGCTGGTCAGAAGTCCGACCAGAGTCCGCATGCTGCCCTCCAGCCTATATGAGGGAACACCAAAGCCTTGCTCAGCCTATGGCCCATCCCCTCCACACTCCTATCCATCCCTCAAAGCCCCAGCCACTCACTCACACCACCCGCACTGACCTGATGAAGGTCTGCTGCGTCTCTGGGTGCTGTAAGCCTCGACGAAGGGTGGCCAGAGCCCTCTCTTTCTCCTTTTCCTCTGTCCCCCGCTGGGCTAACCGCAGGAACTGCTGGATCTAGATCCCAGGGCAGGAAGAAGATGGCAACACACAGATGCCAGAAAGCAAGTCATGAGTCCCGCTCTGCTCACTTCACTTGTGAGCCCTCCAATGTTGCACTATCCCTAAAACTTGTCATTCACACTAATATGGCTGATAAGCACCAACACTGAAGTAGAGTGGACAGAAGAGGGAATCAGGACTGGGTTTAATACCAGCCCTGTGACTTCCTCTACATGGGACCTAAACCTGTTTCTCCCTAGAATATGGGAATAACATCTATCCCCACCTTTTTACAGAGTTATTTCAAGGATAACATTTGAACCTCTCAGCCTGGCATAACTTACCCCTCTAGTCATTCTCCTCATGCAACAACACCTAGCATAATACGACTTTTGGTAACTTTATTGGGGAACAATGTGTTTTTTCCAGGACCCATCAGCTCCAAGTCAAGTTGTTGTCCTTCAATCTTAGTTTTGAAGGGCGCAGCTCAGCTCCAAGTCCAGTTGCCGTTTCAATCTAATTGTGGGGGGCGCAGTCCACCATCCCATACAGGAGTCCAACTGGCAACCCTATTGCTCAGAGCATGCGCTCTAACCAACTGAGCCACCTGGCTGCCCCTAACATGACTTCTTAATGCTGTCAAGGTTTTAAACAATCTATTTCTTCTGTCTGGCATACCCTCCCCAGGTCCTCCATTCCCTTCAGATTTCTGTGCCAGTCACTGCCTGTGGGAAGTTAGCTCTTTCTGGTTTCCTTTGTAGACTTAGGGGTTTCTATTGTGCCTCATTTTTCCTTCATGACAGGTGGTAGCACATCTGTCTCACTGAGCTGTGAACACTTCAAAGAAAGAGACTTTTCATTTTTGTGTACTTCAGTACCCAACACAGTGTCTTGGCATAAAGCACACACTAGATAAATGGTATAACCTAGGCACCTGTGTACTTTGTAAACTATAAATGTAAACCTATACGATTCATATACAGGGGATGTCCAATGCTTGCTGAATGAATAAACGAGCTAAAACCATTCTTTCATTCACTTATTCAATAAATACTGAGCATCTACTATATGGCAGATACTGTTCAGGCATCTGAGTTTTCAATGACAAAGATAGGGTCTAGGTTCCCATGAATTTCAAGTCTAGTTGGAGGAATAATTAACAAGCAAACGAACAATTAGAATGATTAATATTCTGCAAACAGGCTATCAGGACAGAATACCAAAAGGGACCCACTGAAGATGCCGCAAATGGAAAGGCCATGAGACAGGAAAGGGCCTGGTATATTGTTCCAAGAACTGAAAAGGGGCCAGTCTGGCTGAGATGAGTAAGCTGATAAGATTGGAGATAGGGAGAGGTTAGACCATGCTACACTTTATAGGTCACAGGAAGGATTTTGGTCTCTGTGTTTTTAAAAGACTCATCTGTCTGCTGCATGGAGAATGAACATGAGGGTGGCAAGCATAGATGCTGATGACCGGCTAGGAGGCTGCTGTAAGTATCCAGAGGAGGGTGGTGGGAGCTGCGATGATCAGGCACGTAGACTCCAGAGGTAAAAAAACGGCTAGGACTCAATGAAGTATTGACGTATAGGGATGAGGGTCGGAGTTGCGGAGAATGATACCCCAGTTTCTGTCTTGGCCCACTGGATAGGTAGAGTTCTGAAGGGACCGCGTTCAGGTTTGGAACGGATCTCGAGTACTTAAGGAAGGAATCTGGCGCCAGCAGGGTAGACCTCACTGCGCATCCTGCCACCTTACCTCGTCTTCCCCGAGGATCAGGGCCACACAAACCCCGTCGGCTTCCTCTGGGGCGTCGTCTCTCAGCAGCCTCTTGCTAACAAGCTGCTGCTCCCTCCGCGCCTTCCGCAGTGCTGGGGGCAAAGAAGCTGGCTGAGCGTGTAAGGGGCACCCAGGACCCAGAACTCTGTCTCCCACCCAGGGGCTTCCTCATCCTATTTCCCATCGCCAAACCTCCATCCTCCCGTGTTCCCTCGCCCGCCCGCACCTGCCTCCCGCTCCCGCCGGCGGCGCCTTAGCTCCTCCATCCCGCAGCCCACCGGCCTGAGACGGCCGTGCCGTTGATTCCACATAGTGAAGCTGAAGGAAATTCGCGATGAGAGGAAGGGTGGGAATAGAACTCCAAGATCCACAAGGTGGCGCGGACCGCGCAGCCGCAGTGCAAGACGGAAAAGGAGGAGCGAGCAGACGGAGCTCCGCGCGAAATGAAGGCGGGGCGAAGCGAGGGGGCGCAGCCAGGGACTGGGGCGGGGCGGGGCGAAGGTAGAGTGGGGCGGACCGAGAGAGTGGAGGGAAAAGCGGAGCGGGGAGTGGAGCGGGGAGTGGAGCGGGGAGTGGAGCGCGGAGTGGAGCGCGGAGTGGAGCGCGGAGTGGAGCGCGGAGTGGAGCGCGGAGTGGAGCGCGGAGGGGCGAAGGCCAGAGGTGGGTTGGCGACCTGGGCGGAAAGCCAGTAGCGTCACCAACCACTCAGCAAACACAACCTCCCCACTCCTAACACACCCTAGAGGAACATTAAAAACTACCCCAAGCTCTAGTGAAGCCGGAGGGAAAACGAGTCCGGAGCTCGTCCTCCCTGTGCTGTTCAGCCAATAGGTCGTCACAGGAGTTGAGTACTACAATAAGCGTTTATTATCCGACAACCGGTGGTCTGAGAAGGCAGCAGGTTAACACCTCCAAAAACTGCCTTAACATTCTCGAACTAGCCTGGGATAGTTAAGGGAAAATCTGGGCATTCCTCCAGAGGCTATGTAATGGTTCCTGGTTCCGGGGGTCTGCATGGAGCCTTCCCTTTGGTGATGTGGCTCCTCAATGTCATCAACCCAAGAGCAGTGACCTGGAAAGAATCCAGGCCATAAAGATTGTAATTGGCAACCAGGGGGACATTGTGACTAGTAAGCAAGCATAAGTTTCAGGGTAATTATCTAAAGCAGGGAACTGGGACAGGGGACATCCTAAGTTCAAACTGCAGGGAGGGGGTTGATCAATTGTTAAGCTCTAGGGCAGGAAGAGGTGAGGCCTCTTTTGTGGGGGTCCCAACCCCGCCCTGTTTCAGTAGGAAGATACAGGATGCCATTTCACCAATAACAGGACTCCCACTGATGAGCACTGGCTAAATGCTGGCCAAGTGTTGCTATATTAAATGTTCACCATAACAATTATCCCCATTTTACAGGTGAGGAAAATGCGACAAATTTCACTCTTCTGCATGAAAATGAGTCACATTATTTTTAGGATAAAGTTAATTCTCTTACTAAATTTTGAGTGCCACTCATCTAGGTACTGTGGAAACTAGGTACTGGGGAAACACTGGTGAATTAAAGAACATGTTCTTACCCTCAAAATCTGAATTGTGGCCAACTAAGCCCTACATGGTCTAATCCTTGCATATGTCTCCAGTTGCAACTGGAAGGCCACCTCACCTCACTCATCTTTTCTGGATCTTCTCTTTGTTCCCTAAACAACACCTGCTTTTTGTCCTCCTCTCTGCTTTTGCACAGGCTATTCCTCTGTCTAGAGCCCTGTCTCTGTACCCCCTACTATCTACCCCAACCAGCACCCTCCCCTTCATTAACACCATCCTCAAGATCTCAACTCCAATGTCCCCTAGTCAGAACTATGGGACCAGTTGCCCCTGTTATGAGTGTATAGCACCATATACTTCTTCACAACCCTTTTCACAGCTGTCATTAAGTTATAGTGTAATTGTTATTGTGTCCTCCCAACCCCCCTTCACAACTCTAGGAAAGTAGAGTCCTGGTAGCACTTAAGAACTGTCATTGGAGGCCTCTAATTTTCAGAAAGCTATTACTTAAGCAAATGCACAAATAAGAAAAAAATCCAGGAAAGGGCATTGTTCTTCAAACCAACTTCTTTCCCTTGAATTTATTCTACTTTTTGAAGTCAATCAATAAAGTCTTCGATCTCTTCCATAAAACATCTACTTAAATAGCTACTGATCATCATCCTTCCCTCTACATCTTCTTTCCAGGCCCAGCATCTATCCAGCCCCTGGACAACCATTTATTGAGTACCTGCTGTGTACCATGCTCTGGCTGGGAATAGGGCCTGGGTCTTGTCCCTTTCCTCATGGACAGGCTGACTTCTATACACACATCTTTCTCCTGGTGGGGAAGGTAAAACAAGTCCCTAGGCAAATGCTATGTTTTGCTCAGAGACAATTACAGCTGCCCAAACTGCCTTTCTACACTTATCTGCCTGGCAACACTGATAACTCCATAAGAAACAGCCCCATGTCCACCCTACTACAGGGCTAGCTGTTCCTTTCTCCAGAGCTACCATGAGTCTTTGGTTTCTCCTCTGTAAGATTCCTCTTCACTATGGACAGTAGTTCTGGGTCCATTTTTACCTCCCCCACCTACTGTAGTAATTGAGGGACTGAGTGATTGTCTTGTAGGCATCCCAGAGCTTTGCACCAGCCCTTAGTAGACAAATGGTAGATATTCTTTTTTGGGGCGGAGGGGGGGCGAGCAGTATGTTTTTCCAGGACCCATCAGCTCCAAGTCGAGTAGTTTTTTCAATCTAGTTGTGGAGGGTGCAGCTCAGTGGCCCATGTGGGGATCGAACCGGCAACCTTGGTGTTGTGAGGACCGCATTTGAACCAACAGAGTTAACTGGCCACCCCAAATATTCTAAAATTAAGGTGTGAGTTAGTTAAGGTGTAAGAAATGTTGGGGTGCCGCTCGTTAACAAAAACTGAGACATCCTCCACAACTAGACTGAAGAACAAAACGACAGCAACTTGTCTGTTCCCCTCCCCCAATTCCCCAATAAAAATATTTAAAAAAAAAAAACTGAGCCAAAGGGCTTTCGTTCCAAAGGCTTTATTTACCAAGTTTGGTGTCCGTCTCCCTCAAAAGAGAAAAACGGCGCCAAGTCCTGGCGGGTGGGGAATTTATAGCTGAAGCTGGATACAGAAGCAAAAAAAAGCGGTTAGTGAGTAAAAGGAGGAAAAAAATTTATTTTAACAAACAGAGTTAACTTATCTTCTAGCTAGCCATAAAACTTGGCAATTTTTTTTTTCCCTAGCTGAGCCATCCTGCCACCTGTTGGCAGCTCAGTGGCTGCTCAGCTCAGGCCGGTGTTGCTCAAAGCTCAAACTCTTGAGCGAGCTCTTAACCAACTGAGCCACTCTGCCGGCCCTAAGGCAAGTTTATTTTCTTCTAATGAACTATAAATCAGGACTTATTTACCTTTTCCTAACAACATACCTAGCTTATCTTTCCCTAACAAGCTATAAAACATACCTAACTTATCTTTCCCTAACAAGCTATAAAACATACCTAGCTTATCTTTTCCTATTCTCTTGACAAGATACTTTGTTAATTTTTGCTGAAGCAGAAGTTTCATTCACTCCTCTGGGTGGGGGTACTCTCCAAAATGAGCTTGCTTAACCTAGGGTCTGGGCCTGGGCCCCCACAGTAAGAATCTTTACAGAAACTTGTTGCCCTTGCTATCTTGGACTCCTCATCCAGAGTGCCTCCACTAAGGTGATGGGATTTGCTGAGGAGCCAGGCTTCAGCGGCCTGCGTCTTCTGAATGCAGAGGCTCTGACAAAGAAAACAGTCAGGAATACTGTCAATAGATGTAGCTCTGTGCCAAAGACTTTACTCATTTGATAGGCACTACTATTATGTCCATTTGAGAAGAAGAAGCTCAGAAATCTGAGGCTCAGACACTTGCCTCATCTTGCAACCTCAGCAGCAGACCTAGGATTCCCTGCCTGGCTGTATGATTGCAGGGTCAGTGTACTTAACACTGAGCTGTATTAACATCTTGGGCCTCAGGGATGTCCCAGTGACCTGGCCTGGCCTTGGGGCATAGCTCAGGGTATCAGGGCATGCCTGACAAGACACATAGGGGAAAATGAGGTCTGACGAAGCCTCCTTGTTTGGATTGGGGACATGTGAAGCGACTTCTTGAAAATAGGGGAATTGAGAATTCGAATGTTTTTCATATAGCTCTTTCCCAGAAAATCCAGAGGTACAGAGTTGTGAGAGCCATTGTAAAAGGGTTAACAAAAGAACTTCCATAGCTGAAAGCTTTTCTAAAAGAAAGGATTTATTGAGCCATATGCTAGCCTGAAAAGGACTAGGTCCTGGAGCGTGTAGTCTAAATCACCAGCAGCATGGCTAGGTGGAGAAGGCAACATGTCCACCATCCTGAGGTTGATGGGCTCTTTTATTCATTATGTTTGGGGAAGAAAGGTGTAAGTTTTTTGAAAGAATTTACATTGGTTACAGATAAGGAGGCGGGAAAAGGTAAAGTGGAGGCAGTTCTGTGATAGGTGCACAGTCTGTAAGGAAGAAGTATTTATTACTCTAGAAGTATTTTGATTGGTTACAGACAACAGTCCTGGGTGTTCATGCGTCTGCAGGATGCAGTGGTCTAGAGGTTGGATAGTAGACACTTGGAGGTTGATTCAAAGCTCCAGCATACATTCAGGAATGTGAGCAGTCTTTGTTAGTTGGCCCACAGCTATTAACTGGTTAACTATTCCTGTCTCTTTCTCTCACTCTCTGGCTGCTGTAATTTAATTTAGAACATCTCAGAATTTTTGTCTCGCCAAAGCATAAACCTTACCCCACCCTCTGGGACACTTGTTTTGTTTTGTTTTTCTCGTTAAAACAATTTAGTTACTAATTAATCCTCATTCAACATAGGTCCAGCCTTTCCTTCCTAAAACACAGGTTGGGTGAGGGGTAGAAGAGAACTATGTACAAGAGGGAAATTTGTCTTAGAAATATCTAGTTTCTCAATTTCATATGGAGAAATGAAAACTGTAAGAGAGCAAGTGACTTGGCCAACCTGTTTCTGTTAAACACCTCTACTTAGGAAAGCTGTTACTTTCTTTTTTTTTTTTAAAGATTTTTATTGGGGAATCGGGGAGATGGGAACAGTGCTGGGGAATTGGGGGAGGGAACAGCACTGGGGAATTGGGGGAAGGGGAACAGACAAGTTGCTGTCCTTTTGGTCTTCAGTCTAGTTGTGGAGGACGTCGCCTCACTGGCCCAAGTTGGCACCATCATCGCGCTCTTCCCGGGCGAGGCAGATCAGTCGCCGGCTTCTGGACGGCCGCTCACGCTGGCTGCACACGGTAGCCCATGGCAACCCACTGCCACAGGGGCTGCAGCCTACACCGTCGCCGGCGACTCAGGGCAGCCCAGCTCCAGGTTCAGCTGCTGTTCAGCATCTTAGCTGTAGAAGGCAGTGTCACTGGCCCTCACATGTGGGATCTGAACCGGGGCCCTCTGGTGTCCCAAGCCAGTTCTTAACCAACGCACCACTCGGCAGGCCCAGGAAAGCTATTACTTTCTTAATCAACAAAGTTAAGCAAAGAACAAGTCAGCAAAAAAAAAAAAAAAAGGAGCAGGGAGGAGGAGGAGGAGAAGGGAGGAGGAGGAGGAGAAGGGAGGAGGAGGAGGAGCAGGAGAGTTGTTTTTCAGACCAACTTCCTTCTGTTCTTAAAATTAATTCCAGCCCTGGGAGTCAATAAATGAAGTTTGTTTGCAATCTATTCCACAAAATATCCAGTTAAATATCTGAGGATATTTCGGGGATTGGACTTGGGTGGCAGGAGTAACCACCAAGACTAGGGAAACGTCAAGGGAACTACCCAGGTTGAGTCGCTGGGATATAGGCGGGGAAGGCGAGTCCTGGCAGAAGGCCCGGGAAGCCGTCGTTTCTCCATACCCACCAGGGACGCCTAAGTCATCAGGACAATGCCTGGCACAGGGCACATTCAAGGTCCTGCAGGATGCTTCCTGTTACACCCCTCCTCCCACCAACATCCCTCATTGCAAAATTTCCCAGAAGGGTGGTGGATGGAGTGGTTGGGTGGAAGATTGGTGGGGTGTGACCAGGGTTCACAGAGGAGGAAACAGAGTGACATTCCAGGGTTACACAATCTCTCAGAGACCCGCAACGGGTGTGTGGAGCCTTGACGCCAGGGAGTGCCGCTGTGTATAGCAAAGAGGCCCGCGAAGCCAAAGCCCTTCCCAGATCCCGCCGGGGACCCCAAGGCTCTGAGGACCCACCTATCAACCATGGTGAGTGTACGGTCTTGGGGCAGAAAGGGGGCTACTCGGGGAACCCTGGGGACCGGCTGGGGCCTCCCTGACCTCCGCTCTCCTCCCAGGTGCGCGCGCCCGGCCCGCTGCTGCTGCCGCTGCTGCTGCCGCTGCTGCACGTCTCTGCGACCACACCAGACCCCTGCGAGATAGACGATGACGATTTCCGCTGCGTGTGCAACTTCACGGATCCACAGCCCAACTGGTCCAGCGCCTTCCAGTGTATGAGTGCTGTGGAGGTGGAGATTCGTGGCGGTGGCCGCAGCCTGCAACAGTTTATAAAGATCGTCGACACAGAGCCTAAGCAATATGTTGACTTGATCAAGACTCTGCGCTGGCGGCGGCTTACGGTGGGAGCTGCACAGGTTCCTGTTCGGCTTCTGTTCGCCGTCCTGCGTGCCCTCGGCTACTCCCGCCTCGAGGAACTGACGCTGGAGGACTTGGAAGTAACCGGCACCACGCCGCCGCCTCCTCTGGAAACCACTGGGCCTGCGCTTGTCACCCTCAGTCTTCGTAACTTGTCGTGGGCAATAGAAGGTACTTGGCTTGCCGAGCTGCAGCAGTGGCTCAAGCCAGGCCTCAAAGTACTGAACATTGCGCAAGCACACTCGCTCGCCTTTTCCTGCGCAGAGCTCCACGCCTTCCCCGCACTCACCACCTTAGACCTGTCTGACAATCCGGGACTGGGCGACAGCGGACTGACTGCAGCTCTCTGTCCGCACAAGTTTCCGGCCCTCCAGGAGCTAGTGCTACGCAACGCGGGGATAGAGACGACCAACGGCGTGTGCGTGGCGCTGGCGGCGGCAGGTGTGCAACCCCACCGCCTAGACCTCAGCCACAACTCGCTGCGCGCCACTGCCCCGGACGCTCCCGGGTGCGTCTGGCCCAGCGCACTGAGCTCTCTCAACCTGTCGTTCGCTGGCCTGGAGCAAGTGCCTAAAGGACTGCCGGCCAGCCTCAGTGTGCTTGATCTCAGCTGCAATAGGCTGAAAAGGGCGCCGCGGCCAGATGAGCTGCCCAAAGTGAGTAGCCTGACATTGGACGGGAATCCCTTTCTGGACTCTGGAGCTCCTAACCACCAAGAAAACCCGAATAACTCCGGTTTGGTCCCAGCCTGTGCGCGTTCGATCCTGGCCGTGGGGATGACAGGAACTCTGGCGCTGCTTCAAGGGGCCGGGAACTTCGCCTAAGGCCCAGGAGAGAAGAATCAATTGGTTCAGGTTGCCCTTGCTGGGGGGGGGG